ACTCATGTCAGACCCAACAAAGTATATATATTCTTGATCAGCGTAAAATTCTAAGTCTAAGATTTAGCCATGCCCGTCTATCTGTCTGTTGTAATCACGCCATCTTTCGAAAGAATTGAGATAGAAGGCTAAAATTTTGCACACGTGTTTATTTTTCCAGTAGGCAGGTTAAATGGACCATGTAGGTCCACGTTTTCATATAGCCCCCATATAACGGTACCTCCCGATATTCGGTATTTTGATGATTTTAGCGACATTATTCACCGGAATTGTTTCAAATTTCGTATTGTGACAGAAAATTGTCTATGCTGGTCCAGGTCTTCGCACAGCTCCGATATAATGGTACCTCCCTATATACGATATTTTGACGATTTTAGCTACATTATTCACAGTTTGTTTCAAGTTTGGAATTTGAATATGGTATTGGCTAATGGCAAACAATGCCTATGTAGGTCCACGTCGTATAGACCCCAATATAACGGCAATATTCGGTATTTTTAAAATTTAACAGATTTTTTAAGGATTTTATTTTTTTTTTAATTTCCAAATTCGTTCCAAATTGTGGAGGATATTCAAAGTTTGGCCCGGCCGAACTTATTGCTTTTTAACTTGTTTATATTAGGCTGTACCTAAAATTGGACCTATATTGATAATTAGCAAGTGCTCCCTACTTCGCCACCTTATAATCTTAGTTTTCTTGCAACAGTCCATATTAGGCCTTTTTAGTACTTAAAGTGTAGAACTTATTTAGTTTGAAAAAAAAAAAAAAAAAAATGTAATCCGACGTCGTACATCGTACTAAATTTTCAAACTTTCAAGGTTTTATATGTATTATCCAAATGTTTTTCTTTTTTGAAAAATATAATAGGAAAATAATTTCCTTCTACAACAAAAAGACATCAAAATCTCTCATTTCGAAGTTTACTCAGCTGGATATTGGTAAAACCATTGAACAATGGACCCACATCCAATTTTTCCTGTCAAAACTATTTCAACGCCTCCATATGTAAACCCTTGAAACCAACAATGACCTCAATGTCAAATTTCAGAATTTTAGTGTTATCCCTTCATAAAATGCCAAATTTAGTAACTTTTAGTACTCTAATCCACAACAATTTACATCTCAGCATCCTAGACACCAACAGTTATCCAAAATTAGTACCATTAAGTACTTTTTCGTACAATTATAGTAGCATTTGCCAAATAACCACCAGATCTAAACACCAGATACCAACAGACACATATATGTGAAATTTAGGTATTCTAGCTCTATACATATATACCAAATTTACTCAATACTAAATTTAGTAACAGTTAATACTTTACATATAATTTAAGTACTCATTTGCAAAACCGTTCCTTATCTCATTCCTAGACATCAGCCGTTATCGCAATATAAAAAATCACGGTTTCTTCACCAAGTACCAACACTTAGTTAAATTTAGTATTTTTCGAACAATTATTATACGCATTTTCAAAACAATTTCCATAATTTAACCTCATGTACCAACCTTCCCAATACCAAATATACTACCATTTAGCACTTTTCGTACAAATATAGGACGTATTTCTAAATCTCAATCACAGATAGCGTCTGTAACTTAATTATTAGTAAACAACATATTTCAATTCCAGATGCCACAGAGATTAATATTTAATTTGGGGATTCCAGCCCTATCCGTTCACCCAGTACCAAATTTAGTACGTTTTGTACTTTTCGAACACATATAGAATGCATTTCCAAACCACCACCATCAATAATTTCAAACATGCCATCAGTAATCTAAATATCAACTTTCAGAATTGTATTTCTATCCCTTCACCCAATACGGAGTATATCACTCTTTAGTACTTTTCATATAATTATAGTTCACATTTCCAAAACCGTCTTCATATCTCAACTCCAAATACCAACTGGAATCTCAATATCAAATTTGATAATTCCAGTCCCCATATTTCCACTCAATACCAAAATTTGGTAGCATTTAATACTTTTCATCATATATAGGACACATTTCCAAAACCAAATATCAAACAATATTAGTAGCATTTAGTTACTTTCGTATGATTGCGGAAGGAATTTCCAAAGTAAACTCTTAATATTAACCCTACACAACAGCAGAGACCCCAACACCAACATTTTATATCAATCCGTTCAAACAAACCAGATTTTATCGAATTTAGTATAATTTAGTAGGTATAAGTACAAATTTCCATAACTACCCCTCATACAGTCCAATAGAAATCTTATTCTTAAATTTTCGGATTTAAACTCTACCGGTTGGTCCAAATTTTAAATTGTACCAATTTTAGTACCACATAAGTACGAATTTCCAAAACTTCCCACATAACCCAATGGAATATTAATCTTATTTCCAAATATTAGCATTCCAAATCTATCGGTTCACTTAGTACACACAAACTTCCTACATACCTTAAACTCACACATTATAGGTTCACCAAATTTAGTACCATTTAGTATATAAGTACGACTTTTCCCAATTTCCTACATACTCCAATCCTACAGTGCAATAGTAAACTTACTTTCAAATTTTAGGATTTCAAGTCGATGGGTTGTCCCAAAATTTAAAAGTTACCAAATTTAGTACCATTTAGTACACTTTAGCACGAGTTTACAAAACTACGTACATACATCAGTAATCCTATTTTAAAATTTCAGCATTCTAGCCCTATCGGTTCACACAAATCGAAATTGTACCAAATTTTGTACCATTTAGTACACATAAGTAGGACTTTTCGAAATTTCCTACATACTTCAATTCTACAGTGCAATAGTAATCTTTCTCTCAAATTTCAGGATTCGAACTCGATCGGTTCTCCCAAAATTTAAATTGTACAAAGTTTAGTACCATTTAGTAGACATAAGTACAAGTTTCCAAAACTACGTACATACCTCAGTTCTACAATGCAATAGTTATCTTATTTAAAAAGGTCAGCATTCCAAATACAAAATTTGGTACCATTTAGTACACAAAACTATGACCTACCTACATATCCTAATCTTTAATTCCCACAGTAATCCCAATTCCTAATTTCAGGATTCGACCTCTATCGTTTCACCCAAATCCAATTTGTACCAAATTTTGAACCATTTAGTACATAAGTACGAGTTTCCAAAACTATGTACACCTCTGTCCTATAATGCAATAGTAATCTTATTTCCAAATTTTAACATTCCAGCTTTACCGATTCACCCAAATTGTACCTAAATTAGTAGCATTTAGTACTTTTCGTACACATAAGTGCGAATTTCAAAAACTTCCTCCACACCCCAATCATAAACTCCGCCAGTAATGTTAATTTCAAATTTCAGGATTCCAGCTCCATCCGTTCCTTCAAACTCAAATTGTACCAAATTTAGTACTGTTTAGTACTTTTCGTATACATAAATTAACTTGATTCCTATTTTAATATTTTAAGTATTTAGTTCTAACGGTTCCCATGATACGAAAAGGTACTAAATGTAGTCCATTTTAGTACTTTTCGTATACTTATAGTGTGAATTTCTAAAAAAGTATCAACATTTTCTTTGGTACATTCATCATACATACATCAGTGACCCTCATGCCAAATTTAAGGATTCTAGCTTTATAGGTTCGTCAAATACAAAAGGGACCTGTTGGTACCCTTCATACTGTTCTAGTACAAATTTTCAAAAACCCAGCCTTATCGGACAAATTAAAACTAAGAGTGAGTGACCCTCGCCCAAAATGCCAAGATTCTACTTTCGGCTGTTTTGCTATTTTCCATGGACTTCAACAAAAAAGAATTGGTACATAAGTTCCCCTGATTAGTTTTTCAACTTTGCACTAAGTGTAATTATCTGAATTCGGAGTCGAAGTTGTTCTTTTAATGGCTCCCACACCTGGAGCATTCTCCTTGTTGGATGTAAGTCCTACATCAAATAATGATATTTATCAAGGCCAGATCTTGTTGCTATGTGATTCAAATTGAATGTAGAATTCAAATCAAAATTTTATATCAGATGTGTTAAGACTTTTCGCCATCACTGTACGATGTCAAATATGCAGCGATTTATTGTTTTATTGACATTGGCTAGTGATTTTCTTATGAAAACCCCCAAATTGTTTTTGTTCATCTTGTTGTTGTTGCTGCCGGCATTCTTTATGGTCGCGCTCGTAGATCACACAGACGCGTTAACAACTAAACTCGGCTTGATGCTCAAGATCGATGCTAAATGCATGGACACAGCGGCGTTGACGCCAAGTCACAGCACTTGTTGTTCAAGAATAAGCTGTGCTTTTGTGCTTAAACTTGAATTGGGCTTTTTCTGTGCGCTTTTGCAGCGATTGCCTCGATTTGTTTAGCTCTTACAACTTGAGCCGTGGTCAAGCCAACTGTTGTGACTTGAGGGTAATTTGCACTAAGGCAGAGTTTACAACAGCCTGACAAAGAAAACGCAGCAGTGGCAGCGCCGCTGGCAGAGGCTGCAAACAGAACAACAACAAAGGTAGAAGCCAAATTCAAGAATTGTTGAGCAGCAGCAGCAGCAACATTTGCTGGTCGGTGTCAGGGTTCGTAAGTCCGATCAAGTCGGCTGAGCAACTAAAGCCTGTGTAGTTGTTGTGCTGCTGCTGCCGCTGCTTTGGCCGAGGAATCTCTGGTTGTTTGCCGAAATTGAGGCGGTAGAAAAAATAGCAACAAATCTCGGCTTAAATAGCAACAGACCGGTTGACTTGAAAAAGTCTATATAAAAGGGTTAGTCGCATTGTGCGAGATAAACATTGATTTTAAATAACTCGCGCTGTCTAGAAGTGCGGAGAGTACAAGAAAACCGGGCCGCTTAAATGTTGTACTACTCCTTGATGCGAACGATGCAAGAGCAATAGAATATATTTTTATTGAAAAAAAAAAAAAAACGAAGACGTGAATAAAAAAAAACGATATTTAAAAAAATATAAAAAAGTAATAATTTGAAAAAAAATTAAAAATAAGAATTTATAATTATATAATAAAATAAAATTAACAAAAAATAATATTACTAAAATAAAAAAAAAATACATCCCAGTGATTACTAACAAATCAAATTTGTGTGATTTATGTTTAACTAAGAATTTATCAACGAATTTAAAACAACCAACAACAACAACTACTACAGCAAAAATGAAGCTATTTACAACCTCGAGAAAAACTGCAAGTAAGTTTGCATTTCCAATTAGTCTTCCTGTTATTAACAACAACAATAGAAAAAAAAAACAACAAATTTAAAAAATTGAAAAAAAAAAAAACATAGAAATGTCAAAACTGAAAAAAAGCCACATCGAGGTGTTAAAACATTCAATCACAATTGACAAATGATGATGTTTCTGATTGACTGCTGTTGTCTCTCAGTTATTGGTGTTCGTTTTGAATAGATTTGAGATTTTGAGAAAAAAATGTTCGTTGTTTACATTTGCCGTAACATCGTAACAGTGTTTCGATTCGTTTCGACAAAGGTCAGTGTGAATGTGTATTTTTGTCGAATTACTTGTCGGAGAGATTTACCCGTGGCATTGCCATTAATGTCACAAAATAAGAATTATGCGGTCAAATTAGCCAAGTGAATCGCCAATTTTATGGCTCTTTGTAAAATTGTCTGATTGACGTCACACCCACCAAAAAAAAAAAAAAAATATATAAATAAATAAACTTTCGATAAATGCAATTTACTGTTGCTGTTTAATGTCATTGACATTTATGATTAGTTAGTTATTGACTGGGGAAAAATTAACAAAATTCTCATCTCAAAAAAAAAAAAAAAAAAAAAAAAAAACGAAAAGTGACAAGGAAGAAATTATGACGAATAGAATTATGATGATTAAGCTGGATTAGAAAGCAACTGCGGAAGGAAATTGCAAAAATTTTCTGCTACTGCTTTGAATTTAATTCGTTGAACGGAAATAGGTGTGAACTTCAGTCAATCCACTTAATGGAGATTATCTTGGGGCAGCTGATATGCATTTTGGGGAAGTAAAACCAGAATATGAGAATGAAGGCAGACAAAATTGAATTCGATTAATTTTTAAGATTGAAATCTTTTGTGAGACTGGATATTAAAATTAATGATAAATTATTCAAATCGGAGAAATGTTTTAAATATCTTTTGGAATCCATATCATCGGCTCTACTTTTTAAAGCATGGGAGGCCCTTATTTATATTTCTAAGGACTTTTTTTTGGCTAATATTTAAATTGTTATTCCATATTAAAGTAAAAGTTTAAAATCATTACGTCTCATTCAAAAAAAAAAAATAAATAAATAAATAAATAAAATAAAATAAATAAATAAGTAAATAAATAAATAAATAATAATAATAAAAAAATTTTATAAATAAATAAAAAAAATTAAATAAAAATAAAATAAACAATTAAAAAAATAAATAAAAATAAAATAAATAAACCAATTCAATGCAAAACGAAACATTTCTTTATGTCTTTTTTTATTTTCTTTTAAAATGTTTAAGTTATTCATATCTCAAAATTAAGTGTCTATATAAAATATAACTTGAATTCCATGTCCATATTTCAGCTTTAGGATCAGTTTTTAAGTTTCTAATTTTTTAATTTGTTTTAGATTTTTATTGAACTAGTCTTATATCTTAATACTTGATCTTTGTGGAAAGGAAGCGAAAGATATTTTTTAAAACATTATTTTATTATTCTTTATAAAAGTCTTTATTTGAAAGTTTTGTAGATTAAGAATTGAGGTCTTGGATTTTCGAAATACAACTGAGAAGGGTGCTTCTGCTGCCTTCTGCTTCGTCAGCGTAACGGCCACCTTAATATGTAATTGCATTCCAAAAGATCGTGTTAGGCCTTTTTAGTACTCAAAATGCACATATAGATAAACCTAGTTTGAAAAGAATCGATGACCTGTTTCCAAAGTTATAAGATATATATGTATTGAATATTGTCACACTTTGTGGGGGAGGTACCAGGAGTGGTGGATCGATACCTGTAATCTTTACACCAGGTCTTGTGTTAGTAAAAAAATATTGGCATGTGTGAAATTTAAAGAGAATCGGTTGCTTATGAGGGTGCTCTATGAGAGTTATTATTATCCAAACTGTTGACCCGTTGTGGGGGAGGTACAAGAATTTGTAATCCGATATATCCAATCTCCACATCAGATTTTGCGTTGATAGAAATAATGCGATGTGCCGAGTTTAAAAAAAAATCAGATACTTATTTTGCGTTTTATGAGTTTCATGGTTATTCAAAATTTTGACCCCGTTGTAGGGTAGGTACCAGAAGTCGTGGTCTCTATACCAGATATTGTGTTAATAGAAATATTAAGACTTGAGAAATTTAAAGACTACCGGACTCATATTTCACATTTTATGACGGTTATAATTGTACCAAATTTCGACCCATTGTTGGGGAGATAGCAGAGGGAGTAAGCCGATACATCGCATCTTCACACCAGAACTTGTCTTAGAAAAAATATTCAGATTTGTGGAACTTGGTTTCATAAGAAATATAGGTATTCAACATTTGACCCGTTGTGGGGGAAGTACCAGAAGAAGTTGTCCGACCTATCTCATCTTCATACCAGAGCTAGAGTTGTTAGAAATATTGGAATATGCATATTTTAAGACAATTGGTTTTATACTTCTCGATCTATAAGCTTTATAATATTATTTAAAATGTTGACCCTTTGTGAGGGAGGTACTAGAAGGAGTCGGTCCATATTATCCATATTCACACCTAACCTAGCACAGATACATATATTAGTATTATAAAAGTTTGAAAAAATCGGATGATCCTTTCTTGTTCTGTGGTAAGTAATATCCGGACAAATTTTTGACCTTTTGTCGGGGAGGTAACATATGGAGTGGACTGATATTGGCCATCTCCGAACTTATTAAGATGTACCAAATTTGGACCAAATCGGATACATCGCTAGATCAACTTCAAATGTCCTGAAACGGATTTGATCCAAAGAGTCATAGGGCCTAAAACCGATATTTCGATGAGGCGTGGTTTGGTCGTTCCAAATGATATATACCCTCTCTAGCCATATGGCTGAGGGTATAATTAGTATTTTTCGTACAATAATTTGCAAAACCACAACCAGATACCAATAGAGACCTTAATATCACATGTCAGGATTTCAGATCTATTGGGTGAAGGCACCCAATACCAATTTTTATACCCTACACCACAACGTGTTCAGGGTATTATGTCTTTGTGCATTTGTTTGTAACAGGCAGAAGGAAACGAGATAGACCCATAGTTCCTTTTGATGATCTGCATAGAATCACATTCTGAGTCGATTTATGCATGTCCGTCCGTCCGTCTGTCCGTCTGTCCATGTATTTTTGTAAACAAAGTACAGGTCGCATTTATTGCACAGATAATTTGTTTCGCCCAAGGACGAACCTTATTGAAATTGGAGATAATCGGTCAAAATTTAGATATAGCTCCCATATGTATCTACGTCCGATTTGCGTTTTATTGTGCACCAAACGTGTAATATCAGCCCGAATTGTATGGAATTTTGCATATACACACAAATTAGGCCTGAAAATATGTATGCCAAATTTGATTTGAAATCGGTTCTGATATAGCTATAGCTCCCATATATATTGTTCATCCGATTTGTTATTTTTGTCCACCGCCGCCGTAATATGCACTCTGCAACAACAATATTTGGGGAAATATATCAAATACAGCTCAGAAATACATTTGCTAAATTTTATCGAGATCGGTTCAGATTTGGATATATCTCCAATATATAACTTCGTCCGATTTACCTTTTATTGTGCATCAAACGTCTGATGTTTGTCCAAATGGGATGGAATTTGGCACTTACGACCGAATTGAGTCTAGAAGCTAGTATGTCACATTTGGTGAAGATCGCTTCAGATATAGCTATAGCTTCCATATATATTATTCGACCGATTTGTTATATTTTATACCCACAATCATAATATGCACTCCGTTACAACGATATTCAGGGAAATATATCAAATACAGCTCAGAAATATCTTTGCCAAATTTTATCGAGATCGGTTCAGATTGGGATATAGCTCCCATATATATCTTTATCCGATTTCAAATTAACTGTGCACCAAATGGGCAATACAATTCTGAATTTAAAAGATACAAATGCTTCGGCAAATTTAGTCCTTTGAACTTTAAATTATAATTATAATCATAGCGTGTATGATTGAATTCTCCCATAAAAACTATTAATTGTTATGTGGAGCTCTTCTAAATTAGCAAAGTGGTGTAGAGTATCATAAAGTCGGCCCCGCCCGACTTTAAAACTTTCTTTACTGGTTTTTATAAAAGTACTTTTCGTACTTTTATAGTACCATTCCTAAATCACAGCCAAATCCCAAACACAGATACTATCAGGAATCTAAATACCAAATTTCAGAATTTTATCTCTATCCCTTCACCCAATACCATTTGGTACTTTTCGTACAAAAAGAGGACGCATTTCCAAACCATCGCCAAATTTCAAGCACAGATAACTAACTATCAAATTTCAGAATAAATAAAAACCATTTAGTACTTTTCAAAGAAGTATACATTTCCGAAACCACCTCTATATATCTAGGCTACACATGACAAACGACCCTAATACCAAATTTTGGATTTCAGCGCTATCTGTGTGATATACATTTCACAAGCCGCTACCATATACAAATAGAGACTTCAATATCAAATTTCAGGATTCCAACTCTATCCATTCACCCAATATCCTATTTATTACCACTTAGTACTTTTCTACCAAATATAGGACACATTTTCGAAAAGATCTCAATATGCCCCGGCTACACATGAGCAGCGATACTAATACAAAACTTTAGATTTCAGGCACTATATGTTTACCCAATTCGATATTGGGATAAATATAGTACCAATTAGAACTTTTCGTAAATTTGAGGTACTCAGTTCACAAACCACCCCTTTATCACAAAATTTCAAAATTCTCGCTTCATCCGTTTATTCTTATTCAAACTGTTCCAAATTTAGTACCATTTAGTATAGTTCGCACGCTTAGTACACATTTCAAAACCCCCTTCATATATAGAACTTACTTTCCAATCTCGATTCTCATACCAAATTTTTAGCTCTATCCGTTCACATAATAGCAAATGGTAACATTTTAAAAGTTTAGTAAAATTTTTGGAACTTTTCGTAACTT